TGGGACGAGGAGGACTTCCAGGGCCGCCGCTGCCGGCTGCTGAGCGACTGCGCGAACATCGCGGAGCGCGGAGGCCTGCGCAGGGTGCGCTCTGTCAAGGTGGAAAATGGCGCGTGAGTGATGGTCCAGGAGGGGCCGGGCTGGGTTGGGACGCGCGGGGCTCCCCTGGCCTAAGCTCCAAGCCTGGGACCTCAGCTCTCAGCCCTCCGTTTCCCAGACTGTTAGCCCTGCCTGAGAGAGACCGACCCACATGGGGAACCCCTTGGCTTCCCCAGAACTCCCTGTGCGCCACAAGACAAACCATGTGAACTAAAGGGATATAGGCGAGAGGCAACCCTTTGCGGACGCCCCGTGGGACCAGCCTGAACCCTGAACTGGCTCCCAGTGTAGTTATTTCCTCCCCAGAGTTTTTCTCTGTGCAGAGTTAGATGGCTCTGCGCCTGGTATAATAAAAGAAGCCAAATTCCTTCCTCTCGCTCCACCCTTGTCTCTGAGAGCTGAGGCCCCCGACTTTTGCAGGTTGTTGCTATCACAGATCGCTACTGCAGGTTTGGGGGATTCCTACACCTACCTTTGCAGGCACCTAAATCTTTGAGTTAGGAACTCTTGGTTAGGTGATCTTCAGAAGCTGGAAAATTCCTTCCAACCTGGGGAGCCTAAGCTGGAAGCTTGGGTCCCTCAAACACTGGATAGCAGGTGGTTTAGTGTCTCTAGCTTCTAGAGGGGGCCAGAGTGCTGTGAGCTGTGTATGTCAGGGTAAGGGCCTGGGGTTGGAGAAAAAGATTGGTTTCAGTCTTTTCGAATACAATGGGGATGAGGGTGGGGGGGAAGGAGTGAGGCTGGGGCAGATGCCTCCCAGCTTCCTTTATCTTTCCCCAGTTGGGTGGCCTTTGAGTACCCCGACTTCCAGGGACAGCAGTTCATTCTGGAGAAGGGTGACTATCCTTGCTGGAGCGCCTGGAGCGGCAGTGGTGGCCACCACAGTGACCAGCTGCTCTCTTTCCGGCCAGTGCTCTGCGCGGTAAGCACAGCCCTCCCCTTGCCCCTCTGCCTCCTAGCTCCTAGCTCCAGGCCCTGACCCCACTGTGGTGCCTCAGAAAGGCTGTCCAGTCGCTGTATGGAGATGTGTAAATACAATTCCTAGATGGGTGGTAGTGGCATTACTTCCCAGAACCAGAAGAGTCTCCAAAAGTTCAGAAAGTGGGCCTAAGTCAGGTGCCCAAAATCAGCACCACGGACAGCACCGAGACGGGGGGCCAGTCTTGAGCACCTACTGTTCCTCCCTTTGTGTCCTCCACACCTGTGAGAGAGTGCTTCTGTCATCACACTGTCCTGCAAGGTTGGGGCGGCTGCTGTTAGCCTCATATACAGGTGTGGAAATGCGGCTCAGAAGGGCAAAGTGTTTTGCCCTCGGACGCAAGGGTTAACAAGAAGATGAGACTAGAACTCGATTCAGGGTTCATTGGTGAAAAGGGGTCAGTCTCTGTGTGTGTGTATGTGGGGGAAGGGTTGGCAATGAATCAAATGAATCAGATGAGTCACTGGAGGTGAGGCTCTCACTTCTCACTTGTGCTGACTTAGGTACCCTACTGTTGAGGCCTGCGGCTGAGAGGTAGAGGGCAAAGAGCAAATGCTGACTCAGCCTAGCTTCTCCATTCCAGGAGGGGAAGGCTGTAGGGCTATGGAAGGCAAGACCCAACCAACTCTGATGCCCTGGCCTGTCTATTCTGGCTCTGGCATCTGGCATCCCTTAGCTGGGCCCAATCCTGTGAGAGGCTGTACCCAAGGTGCTGGGCAGGGGATTGAGTAGTCAATGAGACCTTTAGGAAAACTGTCTTGGTTAATGGGCCAAATTTCTCTCAGGATCTCTGATTTTCCTTCTGCAAATAGGTCCATATTGCAAGATGCCTTCTTGCCCTGACCTGGAAAGGTCTCTGGGAAACTCTCAGTCTCACCACCTCCACCCAAAGCCATAGAAGGGACTAGGCTGGGGACGTCTGAGCATCCCAGCTTCCTAGACTGCTATGGACCTGACGGAGTGATCTCTGGGAATGTCTGTGGAGCCAAAGTGTCTGCACAGCTGTGTTGGGAGGCGAGGTGGGGAAAGAGGGGCTGAGAATGTACCCATTAACACTTCTTTGGAGGGCCTGACCTGTCCACTCTCACCTTCCAGAATCACAGTGACAGCCGTGTGACACTGTTTGAGAGGGAGAACTTCCAGGGCAGCAAGTTTGAACTCAGCGATGACTACCCATCCCTGCCCTCCATGGGCTGGGCCAGCAAGGATGTGGGTTCTCTCAAAGTCAGCTCTGGAGCGTGAGTCCTGGGACTGGAACAAGGGAGATGAGAAGAGAAGGGAGGCAATGGGCACCATGGAGGGGGGTTGGGAAAGGTGATGGGGTGCTAAGAGACATGGTAAAGAGATGTTGGGGACTGGGGGAAGTGAGATGATGGAGACAGACTGTGGGGGGCAGGTAGTAGGAGATAGGAGTCAGGGAGCCAATGTGGGGAGAGAGGAAGGGTTTTTTAAAAAGACAGATGAGGAGGCAATGGAGGATGGGAATAGAGGATGAGGGGAGAACCATGATAAGAAGACCTGGAGCAGTGGGCCAGGCAGGGAGAGATCCATGTAGGGAAAATTGAAGCAGTGGTTTTGGAGCTGGGGGGATGGGGGCTGAGAAAGGAGGGCTACTAATGGGGGACATTGGTGGGGGTGGGGGCAGAGTCTGCTTACCACCCTTGTGCTCTCACTGGCCTAGGTGGGTGGCCTACCAGTACCCAGGCTACCGAGGCTACCAGTATGTATTGGAGCGGGACCGGCACAGTGGGGAATTCCGCACCTACAGTGAATTTGGCACGCAGGCCCACACCGGGCTGCTGCAGTCCATTCGAAGAGTCCAGCATTAAGCTCCAGAGCCCTGACACCTCCCCTGAGGACCCTCAATAAAGGCTCCTGAACCTGCCTGCCCCTCTTGCCTCTTTCTTGTGGTCTTGCTTTGTGATCTTCATCCTAATCTTTCTTAAGGTCCTTCCCTGCCAACCTGACCCTCCTCTCAGGCTTCAGGATTCTTGACTATGGAGCATAAACTGGCTTATGATGTATGGGGTTAGACCCTGATAGGGCTGAGAAAACTGCTGGCAAGAATTTTGGGGATCCTGTTAAATACAACCAATCCCACACTTCTCCTTGGTAAAGGCCCATCAGCTTGGGTCAGGTGTACCATAGCACGCATGGTGCCTTTGCCATCCTCTGGTTTGGGTGCACAGAGCCCTACACCAGGGCTCATAGCTGAATTTCAACCACGCGGACCGCGGACCAAGCACCAGCATGCTCCTGCAGCAAGACCTCCTTAATTCTATGCAGAGCTCAGTTGGGTTTCTCCTTAACCCCCAGGGCATTTCCAGCCTTTATCTTCACCCTGGCTCGATATCCAACTGAGCAAAGCCTGCACACTTTTCCCACCTTCATAGAGTCTCTGCAAGGCTGTAGGAGGAGAAATGAGTGGGAGGTCCCACTGCCTCCCAGGGCTTTCTAAAGGGGAGACTTTCTCTCTTAGTGGAGCCCCCAGACCCTTTGTCTGAATAATAACAATCCCTTCATGATATCGAGCTCCAGCTTAGACAAAGCATTTTCATACCCTTCCTCTCAGCAATTCCAAAGAACCCTCTCTTCATTTTTCCTCTCCCTCCCCTCTCTTCAGAGGATTGGTGAGCTGGAGAGGCCATCCCTCAGCCACTGACCACAGTGAGCCTGGGTTCTGGGGCAGGTGGCAGAAGCCCACAACCATGTTGGGGCTGAGTGGTAGCAGCCACCAGAGTCCCTGGACCAATGCAGTTTCTACCCAGTTCCCTACTTGGCCCAGTTAATGATACTCTCAATCCCACATAGGAAGGGCCCTCAAGGCCCTTGGGACTCCCCTCATTCTGTCATTCAGGGATGCTTGTGTTTTCAAGCCCCTATTGGACCTATCAATGGGGAGGAGTGGCCCAGATCATTGCCTGAGCCCAGAGGAGGTAGGACAATGTTGGAGAACAGTTAGACTTGGACCTGAGCCATTCCCAAGGGCCCACCTGTGCAGCCAGGCATCTATCTGCTCCCTTGGGAAGAGCCCTGGAACAGAAGTCAGAACATCTGGGATCCAATCATATAGTATCCTTGAACCTCTATTCCCTCACTTCTAAAGTGGAGCTACTGATCCCTGCCTTGTCTGTCTCACAGGGTTGTGAGGATTCAAGGAGAAACCACTGAAAATGCTTGTGGTGCTATGGAAAAGCACCGGGGCAGTCAAAGTAGGGCCCTCATTCTCCTGCACTGCCCCCCACCCACCCATGGATCCCAGTGTAGAGTCGGGGGAGCAAGGGACAGAATTCTGGGTAGGGTATGAATTCTGCTTTTTAAATGGATGGGTTCTAGAGTCCATGCCCCTGCTGCATTTGGTTCTCTTAACACCTCCCATACTTCATCCATTTCACCAATCAAGAAAGATTCTGGGCTGTCTGAGAGGGAGAAGCCTTGATGAGGTCATCCAATTTACTGGTGACAAAACCAGGACTTGAACACAGGGCTCCTGACCCCAAATTCAGGCTGTTAAGGGAAGGCTGACCTGAGCTGCGGCCAAAAGCCTCAGGCCTCAGCAGAACCCCACACCTCTGTGGGCCCCCAAAGAGTCTGGATTTCCTGCCTGGTCACAGGCTCTTAACTGTCCCCTTGGAGGATGATAATAGTAATAATAGCTAAATGTAAGGCTGTCTGAGTGCTCAGCATGGGTTATATAAGCCTCATAATTCTGTATGATAGGTACTGTAATCCCCATTTTACAGAGGAAGAGACTAACTTCCCCAAAGTCATACAACTAGGAAATAGGGGAACCAGAGTTGAACCCAGAACCCAGACAAACTAGCCTCAGAGCCCAGCAGCCCTTCTTCCCTCTTCCTGCTTTGCAAGGGTAGGCAATGGGCAAAAGGAGATCTAGTATCCACCATCAGCTAAACTGCCCTCCCTCTAGGAGGGTCTGTGGCTGCTGGGAAGAATCAGCAAGATGGCTGCAGGAATGGCAGTGGGAACTTGAATAGGACACTCCCCGTCTCTAGGTTTTAGTGTCCCCATCCATACAACTAGGGAGTTCAGAGAGCTAATATTTGCTGCAGCCTTTGTCAACAGGAACCTTCTAGCTTTTCCTGGACCTAGGGGTCCAACTCTGCATCCCACACGGGCACCTAGAGAGTAGGGGGCTCAGAGACCAGGCTGGGAGTGTTTTCACCTTTCCAACCTTCTCCCATTCTAGGTAGGTTGATGGTCAGCAGAACCCTGTTGGACTGGGACCCAGCCAGGTGGGAGGAGGATGGAGGAGAAGCTGCTTGGGACTTGTCCATTGGCTGTACTCAGCCAAGGCCAAAGGGGATGAAGGAGGTCATCTCCTTTCTGGCGCAGCCAAGACCCAGGGGCAGTGGGGGGCGGGCAACTCTCAAGCTCTTTCCAGAGCTCACCTACCCCTTCAGCACCTGAGTCTTTAATGAGGCAGAGACACAGAGCCTGAGCTGTTGATCCCTCACCAGTCCAGAGCTGGGATATCTGGATAGACCTCCAACTCTGAGCATCTCTCCCTTCTATCTGTCTCAGCCTTCTGCTGAGAGCATTGAGTGAACTCCACTGCCTTCCCACTCTCAGCTCTGACCTTCTGCTCCTCATTTTCTATCTGGGAAAGGAATAAGAAGGCATGAAGGTAAAGGATTAGGACCTCAACCCCACCTCCAAGGCCCTCCCGTCCTGTGAACCCCTGGGTTTGGTCTCCAAGGAACATCCTAAACTCTCATCTTTGCTCCCCCCAGATTCCTCATCCACATCTTCCTTTAGGATCCTGGGGTCCTAGGATCCCCTAGTTCCCCCTGGACTCTGCCTCCCTCACTCCTCTTTTGTTCCTTCTGACTTTTGCACCCTCCATCAGAAAGGCGAATACTCCAGCAGTTACAGCAAGTGAGGAATGAACAGGGGCCCTGCAGAACCCCCCAAGTTGGACTTTCCAGCCATCGTCAGTTGGGCACTCCAGGATCATGGCTCCTGCAGGAAACTTGCCCACTCCAATCTGTGTGCCATCAAGTCCCCAGTCTCCTCACCTCCTGGGCTCAAGCAGTGGGAGGGAAAGGCCTTGAGATTACCAATTCTGACAGTAGCCACCAGGTGCTGCATGCCTGCAGCTGGGCCCCTAAGCCCAGAGCCTCATCTTCAGCTAGCATCCCTCCTTAGCTAGCCTCTCTTGAGCCAAGAAGCCCCACAGGTACTCAGAGACTTCAGGCCACCTGGGGACCACATCAGCTTTGCTAATATACAATCAGTGTCTTTTGAAGGGATTTCAGCCTCCATACCTCCCCTGGGTTGGAGGCCGTATACAGTACAGAGTCCTGTTTCAACCCTTCTACTCCTGCTAGAGCAAGGTGCCAGTTGCAGCCTGGTTCAGGGATAACCAGGATGGGAGTAGTTGAGAGGGTGCATGGTAGGCTGGGATGACAGGGGATAGGGAAGGATGGAAGAGCAATCCTTTTGGGGGGAAATGGAAGGGGGCTCATGAGCCTCCTGCATGACCCAAATTAGTGAGGAAAAAATGAATGAAAAAAGGAGGGGAAGGAGAGAGAAAGGACAGAGAGAGAGCGCATAGAGACAGGAAGGGGGGATGGCATTGAAGAGACAAGATGAGGAAGGAGAGACCTACAAAAGGGGGAGGGAGGGGCAACCTGCTAGAAGTTGTGGGGGGACGACACAACGTTGGCCCAGAGGCCTGGGAACCCTGGAAAGGCGAGAAACAGGCCAAAGCAAGAGGGAGACAGGGAAGGAGATCGGGTCTCTAGGGAAGAGCAGAGAGTGGGAGCCGAGGAGGAGGGAGAAGGCGCAGGGAGGAGGTGGGGGCGGAGATAAAGCGAGCAACTGCTGCCCGGCCGGGAGCGGAGCGACAGGCGAGAGGGAGGGAAGCGGAAATTTAAAAGTGAAGATGCAGATAACGCAGCCTGGAGACGAGAACCCGGGTGGGGGTGGGGGGAGGAAGGGGGGAGGAAAGTGGAGCCTTGGTGGGGGCTGGAATGGGTGGAAGGAGGGGCTGTGGCCCCGGGGGTCCGAGGTGGGGCCGGGTACCCTGCCCCAACGCTGTTTGCTGAGAGTCACGGAGGCGGAAAAGAAATGCGCTCCCGACCCCTATCAGAGCTGGAGGCCCAGGCCCATCCCCCGCGCGTCTCCCGGGTTGCGGGGCGCTGGGGGCTGCTGGGTGCGCTTGGCTGCGGCGCGGCGCGTTGGAGACTTTATTGCGATGGGGCGATAAGAGAGGCGGGGGCGGGGCCCGGGGGACCGAGGCAGCAGCGCTTTAATTAAAACGGAAATTGCGGCCCCTGCCCGCGCGGGGGGCCGGAGGGTTCCAGGCAGCCTGGTAGCTGGGAGCATCGCTCCAGGACCCCCTCCATTCCCCGCCACACCCGGGCAGCCCCCTCCCGCCAGGCCCTGCCGGACCCGCGCCGTCTTCTTGTCACCCGCGGTTGCCTCGGGCGGGGATCGGTACCCCGGAGCGCAAAGCCTGACGCGTCCCCCCTTTCTCATCCCCCCCCCACACACCTCCCACCACCCAGACCCTGACGGCGATGAGACAGAGCGGCGCCTCCCAGCCCCTGCTGATCAACATGTACCTGCCAGGTACCAGGGACCAGCCGGGGGCTGGAGGCACCAAGACCTGGGGCCTGAAGTTTGGGTTCGGGCATGGGAAGGGGTTGCTGGGGTCCAAGGGAACGGGACCAGAGACTAGGATTGCTGGGAGGACTGAGCAATCGAGGGGCACTGGGGGACCTTAAAGGCAGATGGAGCTTTGGGGTTTTAGTGTGAGGTCTAAGGACGCGAAGTGAGCAGATTGGGAACCTGGGAGGCCGAGGGCGCGAGCTTAGCGGCTGAGGGAGCCTGGCAGGGGGAGCAGGGGTCTTCGGTGTGGCAGGGGACTGACTCAGTGTGCGTTCAGCGTTGGGAAGCTGTGGTCAGCTGAGCGTCGCCCCTGCGCCCTCGTGGCTTCTCACCTCCGTGCTCCGAGCGTTCCCACCAGCCCAGCCTTCCAGGCGCCCTCCTCTCTTCTCCGATGGGCTCCGGGCGCTCCCGCTCGGCGGGCGCACTCCCTGCTCGGCTTTATAAGGCTCCCGCCGGCCCGTTCGGAAAGCGGATTTCCTTTTTCCTGGACGCGTTTCCTGACTTGGGCGTTATGGAGGGGCTCCGCGCGGCGCGCGCCGGGGCCAGGCTCGGGGAGGAGGGGCTGGCGGCTCGAGCCCCCAGCCTCGCACCCAGGAACCAACCCCCGCCCCCCCCACCCCGAGCCTTGGCCCGGAGCCCTTTCCGTCAAGCCCACAACCTCCGCCCGGGTCCTCCTGAGTGTTTTTTCCTGCTGCTACAGATCCCGTCGGAGACGGTCTCTTCAAGGAAGGGAAGAGCCCGGGGTGGGGGCCGCTGAGCCCAGCGGTACAGAAAGGTGAGCTGGCCCGCGGACGGGGGTTGAGGGTGGGGGTGAGGACAGCGGATGGAGGCCGGGGCACCCACCCCAGAAGGACGGGCGCCACCGCCACCGGACCTGAGGGTGGAAGCGTTGTGCACTGCGGGGCTCTGGGAAGGGAGGGTCCAGGCGTGACTGTGGGGAGGCTGAGGGGAGGGGGCATTCACTTGGCCTTGGGCTCCACTCCAGTATATTCTGAGTCCCAGAGCTGGACCTGCAGACCAGGGCAGAGGGAGAGGATCCTGGCCCTTGGCCTTTTTACACTGAAGGGCCAGGACCCAGGTGCTTGGTGTCCTTCCCCTCTTGGCAGGAGGACCACAAGGCCAGGGCACCTCTGGGCAAGGGGAATTACTCCCTGGCCACTCCAGTCCTTCTCACCACTAGCACTGGGTCAGCACCTACCTGCCTCAATGGCCCAGGCCAGCAGGGCTCTGGGAGCCAAGTCGGCTGGGCCATTGACATTGATCCTCAGGTTCCTCCATCAGGCTTCCCAAGTCGCTAAATTACTCTAGGCTTTGTCTTGTTGGTCTCTGAGCCTGGCTGGCCCTCCAGGCAAAGCCTCCCCACAGCCTACCCCCCCCCCAGTACCCTAGATCTCACTAAGTCACAGGAACCACAATGACAACGTTGGCAACTGCTTTATCCAAAAGGGAACTGACTCCCAGCAAGAATGGGTTTCCAAGCCTCTGATGTCAGTCTGTGTGGGTACCAGCTTCAACCCAAACCTTCCCTTAACCGTCCCTTAACCTTCCCTTGTTCCTGACCCTAAAGGTCCCAGCCTGGAGTCAGGCAGCTACTGGCTGAGCTGGTGTGGAGGGATTGGGGTTGAAATGATGTTGACGGGCAGCGTCTGGGTTCAAAGCGAGTGGTTGAGAAAGGAAGAGAGGCTCCACCAGGCTTGATTTGAATCAATAATCAGAATACTTCGCGGAAAATCCTTTTTTTCCTCTCCGCTAAAAGAGAGTGAGAGAAAGTCATTGGATCAAGATTTTTCTCCCCTTGTCTGACTGAGGCTCCAAAACAGGGGAGTGAGAGAGAATTATCGGGCAGCCCTCTCTCTCATCACCCGAATATCCGGGAAAGTCCTACTTGCCGCTTGCAGCAATCCCGAAATCTGGACGGCCCGGCCCGAAGAGCCCAGAGATGGCCAAAGATGGGAGGAGGCAGGGAGCCAAGCAGAGTCTTCTCGGTCTTCTCTCCTCTCCTAAGAGCTGTGCATCACACCCCGAAGTATGACACCTTCCCAGGCCGGGAATCCCGGCTGGTCCGAAAAACAGGGCGGAACCCGAGTAACGCCAGCGCGGCGCTCTGCACCCCCGACCCTGGAGGGGGTGGGGAGCCTTCAGAATCTGACCCTCCTCGCACGCGGTGGAGGCCACTGCTCCCATTCCTGTCTGGTACGGCAAGAAAACCAGCCTCCACCTCTTCTCCACCTCAGGCGGGGCCGGTCCAACTGTGTGCCTTTGAGGGCTAGGCCTTGTCTAGCGGCGGGGGTGGTCCCGCTGCACCCTGGCCTCTTCCCCCTGGACTTGCGGACATGGTCCAGCTGGGATGTGGCAGTCTAAGCACCTGCGCAGACGACCCTGTGCGGTCGTGTAGGCTCCTCTCCGCTCCGAATAAGGGCGCAGGGCCAAGGTGGCAGGAGGGGCCGGTATTGGGCCCTTGCTGGCTTCCCAGAGCCGCGTGCCCCGGGGCGCCGCTACCTCCACGCCGAGGAGGCTGTGCTTCGCCCTCCTGCCCAGTTCTCACAAAGCCAGGAGCCCGCGGGGCTGCGTCCTCCTAAGAGGGGGCCGGGCTTCCATTGTGCAAAAGCACGGGAAAGGCTAAGGACCGCTCGGCCGATCGGCCCCTCCCCGGCCAGCGGCTGCAGCGACGCCCAGCTGCCCTGCCCGACGCGCGCTTTCTCCCTCACCCGACGCCGGTTCCCACCGGCCGGGTTGGTCTGCCGCCTCACCTCTCCCCCGCACCCACCCGCGCCTCCCCCGCCCCGCCCGTGGCTGACCGCCCCCTCCCCACAGGCAGCGGGCAGATCCAGCTGTGGCAGTTTCTGCTGGAGCTCCTGGCCGACCGCGCCAACGCCGGCTGCATCGCGTGGGAGGGCGGCCACGGCGAGTTCAAGCTCACCGACCCAGACGAGGTGGCGCGGCGCTGGGGCGAGCGCAAGAGCAAGCCCAACATGAACTACGACAAGCTGAGCCGCGCGCTGCGCTACTACTACGACAAGAACATCATGAGCAAGGTGCACGGCAAGCGCTACGCCTACCGCTTCGACTTCCAGGGTCTGGCCCAGGCCTGCCAGCCGCCGCCCGCGCACGCCCACGCCGCCGCCGCCGCC